TAGCATTTAGGCCCACAAACCTTTCTCATTACAGTTAATAATCCTGATTAACACAAGCTGCAGTCAGCTTGGCTCGGTAATGGGCAGACACAATGCAAAGTGTCATTAAGGAAGAGAAAAATGGTCTTTCAGCTTTCAGTCATAGTTTGGGTTTATAATGAAGCTGTTAATCATCCTAACTATAAAAAAATCTTTTCAACTTTCAAGGAATCCCATCGAGAGCCACAAGGACGTTTAAAGCTGCTATAATCAATATTTTTTTATCACCAATCAATCAAGTGACTGTGTAATGTAATGATTGTCACTCATTGTGGCAAACTCGCAGAGGGTTACCACTTGACTGTGCAGTTCCTCTCAGCTCTAGTGAGTGTTTTCAACTATTTGTTTTTGGTTTTATGGTCTACAACCGCACTGCTGTGGTTCACTCCCTCATCGACCTGGTTTCCAGCCCCAGCAGGCAGAGAACAAGCACTGATAAACCAACAGCTGCTTGGTGCTGGGCAGGTAATGTACAGTGTGTGGAGGTGTGAAATTGGATGGGGTTGAAAATTCTCAAGCTGTTTTTTTCTTTATTCGTCACACAGCTAGTCCATCGCTCTTTGGGTGTAACACTGTGAAAAGCCTTTACATAGAGACTTACAAGTCTTAAATTGTGCACGATCATCTCTATACTGTCCTTACATCCTCTCATTTTCGATAATGGTTTTAAAAGCTACATTTCCTATGGTGTCCCACAGGGTTCAATACTAGGTTTAACCCACTTTTTCATCTTACAGGCTTCCATTCAGCCAAATTATTTAACTGCACAGTTTAAACACAAATGTACATATCACTTGCATCTGATGCTCTGAATTATTAACTGTGCCAAGAAGGTTATATTTTCATCAATGTCAGTAAATTTGTTTGATAGTTTGCAGGATTACACAAGATACTTTCCCATTAAATCCTGATCAGGAGTGATTCTGGAATTTTCTTCCCTTTCTTTAACAATGTGGAGTAGGGATGTTTGTTTAATATTTGTATTGATTTCCCCCAATGAGTAATTCATGGATCTTTAAGAAAAGGTATATTTAAGGGAATAATATCTGTAAGTATGTGTACCTTGGTGCATCTTGATTTAATTTAAGGGGATTATTGGGCCTTAGTGGAGGTATATGCTCTACTGAGTGCAATTCATGTTCTTATTGTGTTCTGTGGTATGTTTTTCTAAATCTTTCTTGAGTTTATATTGACCCTCTGGGCCCTAAAAGGTTGTTGGCTTGAGAATTCTACATTTATTTGAGGGCTATGCATATGATTATCATTGGCTTCTCTGTGGGTTAGGTTTTTTTCCCTCCCCAGTCTAATGTGGGGCAGCTTGACCTGGACCGCAGAGACGACCTGTATGAATTTTAAAATAAGTGCTATAATCACTCTCCATTTAACAGCCCCCAAACATATGCCACACTTTAAACTGTGCATGAATAGTTGTATAAATCTTTCAGCATGCACTCACCTACAGTGAGTTTATCATCCAGGGACCCTGACTTCCTCCAAGGCCATTCATTTTTCATGGAGCCCCGCTGGTGATGGAGCATGTCCACGAGTAGAGCTGGGGAATTACTGTGAGAATCTCAGACGCTTTGCGGCGCGAATGCAAAGTAGCAGAGAGACCTCTATCTGTTTTAATGTTCCTCTTTGCTTGATCTGTTTTTACTACACACCTCCATTGATATGCAGAGTGTATTAGACGTCATAGAATTTAGAGATGGCCGGCAACTGAAACATGGAAGTCCATTTGGACAATAACCAGGCCTGCGGCTGGTACATAAGAACAATCATGCACTGTATAAGGCTCAGAGCCAACCACATCCTGCTCTTATTGTTCACATGCTGCAGATCTATTATTCTATTGGCTGACAAATGTGTATTTGTGGTATCGCAGCTAACATCGCTGCAGATATTGGACAAAGAAAAACATGAAAGTTGAGCTTAATGCAGGATTCTTTAGGATAATTGAATATTGACATTCTTGTCAGGTGATCGATCATTTGTTGGTGGTCAGTGTCTTGTTCTATGCTGCAATGTACAGTGGCCGAGAGAGCTCAACCCTCTGCAAATTAAAAAAACACATGCAAATTGACAAACACGTGCAAATTAAGGAAACATCCTCATAAATTTGAAGACACATGCACTGCAAAAAGTCACAACACCTGCAAATACAGAAAACATGCTAGAAATTGCTGTAGTTTAATGCTTTATGAAGTTCCATCAACACTGACAGGTAGCAGTAACTTCGAATGTGTAGCACGGGACATAACAGGACATATATAGCTGGCTCTGTCCACAGGGAGCGATGTGCAGCTTGATTCTCTGGTGCTGACACCACTGACCTCTGGAAGACACAAGTGACCCTTCCTGACTGTGGCCATCAGTCTGTTACAATATCTCAACAGATTCCTTTTTTGGAATGACAGCCATGACATTTGTACTGATTTTCCCCAGTCATCCCAAGAGGAGGACTTCTGCTGGTTTTCTTCTCGCCCTGCATTAAAAAGACAAAGAGGTGTGTTGATGGAGCTGTGTTGCCTCAGATACCAGTAAGAAAGCACTGATATCATTGTCATAGCAACAACCATTCTATCTTTCAGTGTGATGACCAGTAAAGAGCAGAAATAAGGTGTTGATGTTATGAAACAATCTTTAAGCAGTATGTTAAAATTATATTGGGGATGAAGTGGTCCAATTCAGGGGGCTGTGTGTTTTGAGAGGATGTACAATTATTTGTTAACTACCTCATCTTATCTTAAGCTGCTTCACCTCAATCCAACATTTAGTTTTCATGTTTTACAGTTATGAACATGCCCTGTAGTTGCTTTGTACAATGCATCATATATTCCAATAATAGCACATGAAAAAGTCACACGTTTTAAGTTGGAACACGCTACATAATTAAGTCTGCTTAGAATAAGCAAGTAACATGGAATCTACCCCAGGCAAAATTAGTCACTGAAACACAACATGGAAAATGATCCTCTGCTAAAAAGTGGTTTCAGTTGTTTGAAAGCCTCAGTAGGTCAAGGTACGGCCTCATTTTAGAAACACCTCCTCACTGTGTTCTCCTTCACCCAAACTTCTATATTTGGAGTGTGTCACACTGCCTGCGGTAATCTTATAGTCAGAGAGGAGCTGAGCTCAGTTTGGTGATGATCTAAATCAGTGGCATTCAAACTTTCCAAAAAGGTTGTTTTTCCCCTGTACGTTTGTTTGCTAAACAGATTTCCACAAAACTTGGTAAGGATGCAGTACGGGTCAGAGAAGAGCCTATTACATTTTGGCACAGATCCGGATCAGAGGGAGGATCCAAGATTCTTTTTTTCACATTCTTATGGCATAACAATTTCAATTGATTTCCCAGGGAATAAAAAAACAGACACATTCAGGGAACTGATGTCTATAAGTGCATGTGTGAAATTTGATACAGCTTGATTGAATTTTAGGAGACTGCTGGGCTTTGGCTGAGGTATGAGTTCTACTGAGTGCCATATCATTTTGCAAAAGAGTTATGTTCTTCACCAAAGGTAAAAGAGAGGATACTGAATATTGTGATATTTCCAACTTCCAGTTCATCACTCATCATGACTGAATCGGAACACTCAGGTTTGCTGTGGAAGGCAGCCCGAGTATGAGGATGCAGAAAACATTAGGCTTTCAGACTTAAGTCAAGTTCTGACTTGGAACTGGGGTTCAATAAAGATTTTACAAAGGTCGACAAACTTTCAATAAAATAACAATGTTTTATGTCACACTGATGTAAATTTAGATCAACTGACACTGTGTCAACCTTTGTCAAAGCTCAACCTTCATATTGAACACCATTCAAAAGTCCTAATTTCTTAGAAAGATTTGAGAATCCGAGAAGTCAGCCTTGATGTCGCTTAAATTATTTTGAAAACTTGCAAGTATAATTTTCTAAGGTGTCTCATGATCAGATTGCTCTACTTTATGTTTTGGTTTAAAGTTTAAGCATTTTTTTCCCGTAAATTTGTGATAAATATACATTGGTGTTAACATATTCTTGCTTCTGAAGCTAGAGGTGCAGATTTGATGTCTACAATAGCAACTTGTCTGATTCTGGGAAAAGACTGATAATTACTCTTAGTTGGACCCACATACATAACAACTGGACATTATCTAACTCTCATAATCAGGCTGAAATACTTCAAATCATGTAAGTTTGCAGCATTTAACCGACCACACCCTCAGGAATGCCCGTGGTTATAGATCAGAGTATAATATCGAAACAAATTTCCCTCTGTGTTTATTCATTGTTTGAGAACTAATGAGTATATACAGTCATTAGATGGAAACGTGGGCACTGACTATATCTGGAGAAGGAGGGGAAAAAAGAAACCAGCCCTGGCAGCTGACTGGTATAGACGGGACCTTTAATGCAGCTGCAGCTCTTCATTCAGATGCTGAGTGGAGCAGCGGATGACCGGAGGAGGAGGAGGAGAGGAGGCAGATCACGGCTCTGTTCTAATCGCATTTTCTAAAACCCACTTCGGTGCACACTGAGGGGTTTTATTCCTCCCTCCTTCCAGCCTGCTCGGAGCGTTTTAGCGGAGTCCAGGACCGAGCGGATTGCGGCAGTCTTAAGCGTCCTGGGTGATCGGAGCTCAGCAGCAGCAGCAAATTGTGTGAAATAACGTCACCGCCATCCAGTTTCCCCCATTTACACAAATCGGCTCTCTACTCACGGACTGTTCCCCCGGACTCTTTGATCAGGTAAGAATGGAGGATTTTCTTCTTTGAATCTAAACAGGCTGTTTGTGTTGATGTGGAACAGATAAAGACATTATCCTCTGCGTAAAGATGACATTCCTGTCCTGAGAGGCTGCTGCGTGGAGCGCAGGAGAGGATGCTCCTGTAAGGAGGATGTTGTAAGGCCTGCAGGATACAATAGATGATGAAGCCCATTGTCCTCTCAGCCTCATCTGGTCCCGTTATAAACTGATCAGCAGCATAAAGCTGATGGGCTCCACGACAGGGTTGTGATTTAGTGCGTATTTCCCATGTTAATTGTTCCAGATTGGTGTGCGCCCATTAAAGTGGCCTGGGCCAGTTAATGGGGGTGTGTGGGCGTGTTTCTGATGGTTCTGACGGGCAGCCTCCTCTGGATGAGCGAGGGTCTCATGTGTCTTCTCTTCGGTGCAGGTAACCACATGTGCGGGCCGGTGTCACCGCGCTGAGCCCGGAGAGCACGCAGGGGGTAGACTCGGGTCAGAGACACAGAGAGTGGCCGGGGGAAGTTGGACCTGATGACGGACAGAACCTCCGAGGCCCCGCGGCTGCCGGAGCCGCTGCGCCGCTGCCACGGGGCGCTCCAGGCCATCAACAACAACGGAACCTGCGCGGAGCAGCTCGGCCTCTTTCCGCCGTTCTCCTCCACCCTCGCGCTCCTCGTGCTGGTGGCCGTGCTCGCGGGGGTCGTCCTCGTTTCCCTGGCAACGTTCCACTTCCACAAGAGGAAGCTCCGGAACAGGAAGATCCAACGCGCGCAGGAGGAATACGAGCGCGACAGTCGCAGCCCCGCGCGCGCCGGGGCGAGCGGGGATCCCGCGAGGCCGTGCGTCATCGTGAGGCCGGTGCGATGCGGGGTGGATCAGCCCGCGTGCCGGAGCGAGGGCGGCGTGGACGTCACCGGAGCACCGGGGGAGGACGAGCGCGCGCTGCACGAGACGGTTCCTCTGGACTGTTAACTCAGCGCAACTTCAGGGAACGAGACTGTGGAATTAACAGGAAAAGCAATAAGGCACAAAGAACTCCCACATCCACCTCTGCTGCTTGTAGATGACTTAGAATCAGCAGGAAACAGATAAATGCAGAATACTGAGCAGAGTAGTTGGCCTACACTACAGTGGCACATACAGATGGGTGACAGGTTAAAGGGAAAACCGGAATGAGTGAGAAGAGAAACCCAAAAGAATGCAGATGCTTCCACACAAGTGAACTGCATAATCAATTAATCAATTAACACCCTATCATGCTCTGAGTTTGAAAATAGTGATCTGGCCTATTTGATTCTTCTATTGATTTAAGATGACAAGAAGAGATCTGAGGGACTTTGAATGATTTTTTTGGGGGGGGGGCACTGATGGCAGGACAATGACTAAAGTGACATCTGCATTTACATCCATTCGAAAGATGTCAGTGTTTAAGGTTGGAAATTGTAGTTGACAGTGCACATTCGCTGGCGCATTAGTTTAATACGAAAAACAGAGGAGCAACTTCTTCGGGTGACCGAGAATGTCAAAGCAGGGACGTGAGCAGACTGTGACAACAAGGACAGTCTGCTAACAATTACACAGAGAGGGTTGTAGTTAGGTTGCAGTGCATAAAACCCCCTGCATTACAGAGATGAATTCAGAGTCTGGAGGTCAGCAATGTGAGATGTGGGGGGAAAAGTGATATGATCAAATAAGAAATGTCATGAGTAGACATGAGAATGATGCAGGCCTCTTCACTGAGTGGAACCACTGGCTTTGTTGTGATGAGTGGGCGTTTTGCTGGTATGGTGTAGGTCCACTTGTCCTCTCGGTGTGGAAAGGTCACTAGAAATCAATACCAAGTTGTTCTGAATGATCATGATTTTATCTTATGGTTAAACATTTCAATCTTGATGAGGAGTGGTCTCTTCTGAGATGACAATGTCCCCATCCATAGGGGATGCAGGGTCAATGAGGAGTTTGATGAGTAGGAAAATGATGTGAGTCGTATGCTAAGGCCATTGCAGTTGCCAGATGTAAAACAAGTTGGGACACAATTTGGAGATTTTGATTGTGTTAGATAGAGCTCTACACCACTGCCATCAAAACACCAAATGAGGGGAATATGTTTTGGAAGAATGGTGCTTATCTCTCCGGTAGAGTCCAGAGATTTGTAGAATCAAATGCCAAGACACGTCAAAGGGTTTCTGGGAGCACATGGTTGCCCAACACCTGACGAAGCCACTTCATATTGGATATCCCTTTAATCTGTCACCCATCTGCTGGTTAGACATGTGGCCACACTCCTTCCTCTTCCACTCGTATATTTAGCCAAACGACAACTCCTTATGGGACTGTAATAAAGTATTTGCCTGCTTTGACTTTTGGACCTCCTTCTCCTTCCAAGCCGAAAAACATTGTTTGAACCTCAAAGATGTTTAAACTTTAAATCCTCCCCGGGATGTAACACACTGTTGTGTTGAATTATTAAGAGTTGATGACACAACACGGAGCATAATGGCTCGCTGATCTGCCTTGGCATGTCCTCTGACACACTACCAGTATGTAGTTAGACTATAGTGGATGTTGTGGTGCTGTTAGGCAGTGAAAAAACTGCACATAGGCTATAGAAATAGCTTATTTGTTTGCGTAGTATTTTTTCCTTCAATTAAGTGACTTAGCATATTTGCATAAAGTACTGTCCTCCAATGTCTGTTAGACATCTGTAGGTAGCTCTAGTTAGCCTGACAGGATGCAAGACTTTTTTGCTGTAGTAATGCACATAAGATATTTTTCTTTGATGTGTCAGATAGTAAGTTTTTGCGCTAATAGAGTATTTTCTCTTTTTATTTGGAGTATTTTTAATGTATTCTCTGAAATGTAATAAATTGAGAATCCTTCCAGTAGAGGGTTTCTGTTGAAGCCGATCTTTTCTTTCATTTATGATCCTTCATATTGCATAATAGTGGGCCTAATAGAAATTCTGTGTCATTCATGATATGAATTCACTGTAAATGTATGCCATTACGAGAGCTGGAATGTTTTACAGTAACATCATCTTTCTGGAGTTCATATAATCTGCCTTATCCAAGGAAAATATGTACTATTCAAAGTTTATAAATAAATACTTACATTATGTTAACTCTTTGAATGTGTCAGTCATCTTCAAATCTGAATGTTATGACCTAAATGTGCAGCTTCACAGTATATTGAACTGACTGCTAATTCCAATCATTTTCCCTATATAAAACAGTACAGGTGATGTGAGATAATATGAATATTTAATTCCAGCACCCATTTCCCTAGACATATGTAAATTACCTCACCAGGGCAGATCTGTAGACTTGTGGTCTTATATCTAAAGGACCATGTCGCTGCATAATCAATTCTTATACATGTGAACTTGTGTAGAACAATGTCTGTCAGACACAGAATCTGATCCACTGCATATAGAACATATTGTCTTCTGTTTATACACCATCAATCTTTCAGTGACCTATTGACATGAAGGTTATCCACAGAAGTACAGCTCTTAATCTCCACAGCCTCATAGCCTGTGATGGCGCCATGGCATGTCTCACTGGAGGTCAGTGGAAGTGAATCAGCATCAGTCAGTGGGTTGGCTGGGTACCAGGAGACAATGTTCCTAATTGTCCCCTGCAAAAAAGGACTGGGGATATGAAGCAGTCTTTGGCAAGGCTCCAGATCTGGAAGATGCACTGATAGACTGTCTGCCTATCTTATCTCACCGGCATAAGTGAAACAAAATGAAACCATTTATCTTGGCAGCCAAATTGGAAGTAAGTCAATTGAAGATGACTAATGCTTTCTACATCTAAACATATGTTTCCGTCAGGACAGTTTACAGAATGGGATCCACAACATGTTTTCATGTTGTACTGATGAAGTCATGACCAGATAAAATCTCCATGTCTTTACCCATCGCACATCTCCCAGTTTGATGTGACAGTTTGACACTTTTCCATCTGCTAAAGACAGGGCTGAATTCTGTTTATTTGTTTAGTGGCAAAAAACAGGAGGAGGTGAGACCAAGGAAAGAAGAAAATTGGCGAATTAATGGATGGTCAATAACAGTCAGAGATGGATGGAGGTCAGTGGCTAAAAAGTGCCTATGAAGGTCAGTCTATAGGAAACAGTGTAGGTTGGTGGCTATAGTAGATTGAGGCAAGTGGTTAGGAATGGATGATGGTCAGTTGCGGTCGATCACCATAGGAATTGATGATTGTCTGTGGATGTCAGTCACTATCAGAATAGATGAAGGTCAGTGGCCAGGTATGGATGGAGTTCAGTGACTGGGAATGGGTGAAGGTCAGTGGGGGTCAGTYGCCAGGAATGGATGGAGAACAGTGGAGGTCAGTGGGGGTCAGTAGCCAGGAATGGATGGAGAACAATGGCTGGGAATGGGTGAAGGTCAGAGGGCATGAATAGACGGAGGTCAGGGACTAGGAATAAATTGATTTCAGTCGTTAAAGTGATGGCTGAAGGTCACTGGTTAGGAACTGATGGTTAGAGGTCAGAGGTCACTGGTTGGGAATGAATTAGATGACAGGAGTGATTCTCATAATAAATGATTGACTGTGGTTATTTACTGTCAGGGTTACAGAGTTGCATTAAAGAGAGACACAGGGTGAGTTATTTTTGTGTGGCTTAAGTTTGCTCAGGGAATAGCCCAGTTATTGTGTTCAGCCTAATTTAGAAGTAATGAGGCCAGTTTTCAGGGTTTTGTTTTCTCAGGGGATCGGCTCGTCTGAGCTGCACAAAGACTTTACAAGGGTGTTGGTTGTGTGTGGATTAGTACAATTTAAAACATTTTAGTAGGATCATATAATCATAAAAGACGTGCTCCTGGCTGAGTAAATTCTTGGTTTAGAAAAGTGCTGTAAAAGTTTGACTTACTTTCTTAAAATTGTATTTATTACATATCCTGGTCTACATTTTTAGCCCCATTATTGGTAAACCTCAGAAGAGTGCATCCACCAACAGAGCTTTCAGGAAAGCTCTGAAGTTTGAGTTCCTCCACCAAGAAGGTTATGTTTGCACCCGTGTCTTTTGGTATGTTTGTTTATTTGTCAATAGGATTACACAACCTGATTTTCACCAAACTGGAGGAATAAGGTCACGAGCCTGGAAAAGAACCCTTTACGTTTTTATCTTGCTTTCTTGGTTTTGTTATTGAATTGTTTGAGTAACCTTGGATTTTGAGACATGGCTCGGACTGTCTCACTAAATCATTTTTTAATCTAATCTGTTGACCACGTACAGTATTCATTGCATTTTCCCCCTCTCTTTTGTGTGTGTTTCCAGACAATCATTGATTTTCTTTCATTTCTGTAACGTATGAAGATCAACTTGCAGGCACTAGGGACTTGCATGAGTTGGCGGTCGTTGGTTTGGTTTGAACACACACACAGAGTTTTACCTCTTGCTTGCTTTTGGAGAAGGTCGGCATTATTATAAATTATGCAGCATGAGTTTTGTAGACAGTGACAAGAAACATGGAAGAAAATTGGTATGGTCCTATAAATTATTACTGCAGGAACAGAGAGATTTCAGCAGAGCAGTATTTAACAGGAAACCCAGAGTGTGTTGTGATGCGTGCGGATTCCGGCCTCCTCCAAGTAGTGGTGGAACGACTCTGATTGTTCCTACAAGGCCTGGCAAGGAAAGTACTGGGTACACTAATTAATGGGTTTCTGGTTGCACTCGATATAAAACTAACACCCTGCCAGCAGGCCTGCCAAACTGCCTTCTGTAGAGCATCAGAATACAAAGGGCCATTGCTTTTTAACAAAAGCAAAATCGGTGAAGACAAAAAACTGTAATGATAAACACTCCACAGTCCACTGCATTATAGATTAGAAAAATTCACAGAGTACATTTTACAGCGTGATTGCATAGGAAGTGAAATATTTCATAAGGTAAAGGGATGGATCGGGCCTGCGTTCGGTTACAGCCTCCACATATTTATGAGGCTTCGCCCTCGACTTTACAGCTCAGTCTGATTATTCCACTGAGCTGTATTAGCAGATTGGCTCCACGCTCTATATCTCATCTCGCTGCTCCTGTTCTCACCCCTGCTGTCACGGTTCGAGGTGGATGATTTGTCACCAACAGTGTCTGTTTATATGCTTCATTACAGCAGGTTGAAGCTGTGGCTGTGAGGTTACCAAGTACCACCGTGGCTCTGTCAGCCGAAGAAGGAATAACAAATCACACTTGTCTGAAGGCTGCATCATTTTTCTGTGGTGAAAGTTTAACTTTTAAACTCCTTGTTGGAGCTGGGTGCTTTGTTCTACACCACATGATATACACATGCAGTTGCTCTGCCCTTATTCTCCTGTCATTCATAATTTTGAACAGAACCATTACTGACACAAGTAATTATATAAATCACCAACAAATGAATTTATTTGTAGGGAAGTTAGTGATTTAAATTAAGGTCAAACAGTCACTCAAACAGAACTTCGGGAGTACAAATGTGACAGAAATAAAACATTGCTTCATTTTCCAGTATTTTATCCATTTCTAGCAGCCGTGTCTTTACGTCTGCGTTTCTTCAATTAGATCAAGATTAAATATCTCAACAACTATTGGATCGATTATGATGGAATTTTGCACGAGCATTCGTGGTGTTCAGAGCATGAACACTTTGACAATGTTTGCTGTCACCTGCACATGACCTCCCTTTCTAAATGCCACTTGCAATTCCTCTCCCATGTTGGAAGGAAAGCTGATAAGCTTGATTATGCAAAACAAACTTTTTGAATTTAGACTTTCCACACGTTTCATTCAGCCCAAGGAAGAGTTCTCATCTTTCTGGGTCCGTGACCTCAGGTTTAAGGATGATAGCAGCAGATCTGAATCGTCATCAGCATTCCTGTGAATTGAAGGCTAATATTCACTCTTATTTTGCACTGTTATTAGTCTCCACCAAGTCCCAATTGAAAAGTTGAGGTAAGTAATTGCACCACTATGTTCATTCACCACATAGTTTTTCCATTTAAGAGCATTTGAGGATCTTTAATTCAATTCAAATTCAAAACAACTGTATTTGTCACCAGTGGGTAATTCATTTAAGTCATAGTATTTTCATTTATTTATTTATTCATTCATTTAGGTACTATAGGAGACCGTACACTGCCACTACCCCCTAAATCACAGTAAATCAAACCCACAATCAACGTTATTAAAGTGTAAATTTTTTTAAGTGTCATTTCTACTTCATGATAATGTGTCGAGCAAGATTTATATACTATGATTATTAGGACAAATACACCCCCGTTGCAATTTCTTGGTCGTAACACAAGAACAAGCATCAAATTTCATGTGTCATGCTTGTAAGATGGTTCCTGTTGACACCCACCACTGAAGGTTCCTGCAGTGAAGAGGGGCTTCAGGATGAGATTCCTGATAGATGGGGCTGCTGCCTTGCCTGACACTGTAGTAGATTTATAGCTGCACGGCTTCATGTCCCGTACAGTAATCCATTTGTGGGACACTGCATCATTTTTGTGACAGTTGTATTAGAGTTGTGTTGTGATTGCTCACCTTGGTTTACAGCACAAAAGCAACTTCACATCCTTTGCAGAGGCCTGGGACATTTTACACTTTCATATAATGGCGCTGCAGTTCTGTCAGTTCGTACATGTACATATTTCCTTGCCTGAAAATTTTCAGAAATGGTTCAAGGGTCCAGCTTCACTGACAACTGATATTTTAGTTTCATCCACGAAGAGGAGAAGTTGGGCTATATTCGATATTTCTGTTACAATCCACACCCCAACACTTACAAACAAGTCTCGGTACCTGATAGATCTTACTCATCTTCCTTGGAGGGGGGGGGGGGGGCATCAGCCAGCACAATGCCACTACACCCACGGTCTAAAAATATAAATCTACAGAAAGT